GAGGCACTGGGTAACAGGAGGTCCCCACCACAGCGGGCATCCATCAGAGACAATTATTATCTGCAGAGCTTGCAGCTAGATAACCATGGCAAGGAACAGAAGAGCTAAATATGACCTCTACTTTACAAAGGGGGACTAAGGCACGGAGATCAATGGCTGGCTCATTTCTTCAATGCCACAATTTTTAAATTTGGTGCTCAGTACAGATTTGAGACCCTGAGGATGAAATGTGCACATCTGTCATTTAAAAGAAATGCAGAAATGTAAGATAAGTTGGAACGATGCTGAATTTTTGGGTGTATGGGATTTTGTTTGACGTTAATGATAATATTGTGGTGCTTACCCTTAAATGACTGAGCTGTAGTTTTAGGTTTCATCTCCAGTTGTACCTTTGTTTTTGTCTGGGAACAGAGAAAAGATGAAATTAGACTAATTTGTTTGGAAAAAATAATCTTTTAAGCAGAGATGCTCTTTATTGCAGTTCCCAGGCCTTCATAAGCTTTTGACATGCCCTCTGGTGCTTGTTTCCTTTATGACAAGGCAGTGTGGGTTTGCTTCCTCACTTACCACAATGAGCCTTTCGAAATCCTCATTCAATGGCACTGAACTACAGAAAATCTGTTTATCTTTCTATTGCACCGCGCAGTGGATGTGTCTCTCTGGCAGACAGCTCCAGGAGGGCATCTTGACGCTGCTAATTAGCATGAGCTTCTCTCTCTCGTGGAGCTCCAGAGAGCATGAGTGTTGTCTGGAGCATTATCTACCTGGACTTTAGTAAGGCCTTTGACACTGTCTCCCACAGCATTCTCCTGGAGAAACTGACTGCTCACGGCTTGGATAAGTGCACTCTACACTGGGTAAAAAACTGGCTGGACGGCCGAGCCCAGACAGTGGTGGTGAATGGAGTCAAATCCAGTTGGTGACCGGTCGCGAGTGGTGTTCCCCAGGGCTCAGTGTTGGGACCAGTTCTGTTTAATATCTTTATCGATGATTTTGATGAGGGGATTGAGTGCACCCTCAGTAAGTTTGCAGACGGCACCAAGTTAGGTGGAAGCATTGATCTGCTGGAGGGTAGGAAGGCCCTACAGAAGGACCTGGACAGGCTGGATTGTTGGGCCGGGGCCAACTACATGAGGTTCAACAAAGCTAAGTGCTGAGTCCTGCACTTGGGTCACAACAACCCCATGCAACGCTACAGGCTGGGGGAGGAGTGGCTGGAGAGCTGTCTGGCGGAAAAGGACCTGGGGTGTTGGTTGACAGCCGCCTGAACATGAGCCAGCAGTGTGCTCAGGTGGCCAAGAGGGCCAATGGCATCCTGGCTTGCATCAGGAATAGCGTGGCCAGCAGGACCAGGGAGGTGATAGTGCCCCTGTACTCGGCGCTGGTGAGGCCGCACCTCGAGTGCTGTGTTCAGTTTTGCGCCCAGAGGTTCCTGGAGTGTGTGGAAGATAACTTCCTGATGCAGTTGGCAAGCGAGCCAACCAGGGGAGGTGCCCCGCTGGACCTGCTGTTTACAAACGGAGAAGGCCTGGTGGGCGATGTGGTGGTCGGAGGCTGTCTTGGGGTCAGTGACCATGAAATGATAGAGTTTTTGATTCTTGGAGAAGTAAGGAAGGGGGTCAGCAAAACTGCTACCCTGAACTTTAGAAGGGCAGACTTTGGATTGTTCAGGAGTCTGGTTAACAGAGTCCCTTGGGAGGCCATCCTGAAGGGCAAAGGAGTCCAGGAAGGCTGGATGTTATTCAAGAGTGAAGTCTCAAAGGCGCAGGAGCAGGCCGTCCCCACGTGCCATAAGTCGAGCAGGCAAGACTGGCCTGGCTGAACAGAGAGCTTTGGCTGGAACTCAGGAAAAAAAAGAGAGCTTACCGCCTTTGGAAGAAGGGGCAGGTGACTCAGGGGGACTAGAAGGATGTTGTGAGGTTATGCGGGGAGAAGATTAGAAAGGCGAAGGCCCAGCTAGAACTTAATCTGGCCACCGCCGTTAAAGATAACAAAAAATGTTTTTACAAATACATCAGTGACAAAAGGAGGGCCAGGGAGAATCTCCCTCCTTTGTTGGAT